TTACGATGCAGAAACCATTCTGGGCTGTCAGGGTGAAGAATAGGTTAGGGTGGGGGCTTCCAAGTAGTACAGAAATTTTTAGTGGTAAAGAGGAAGGAGAATGAACAAAGGAAAAATTTCTTCTACAACAGTGGGGTATTAAGATATTTCTATGGAGAGCCATTTGATTATGATGGCATTTTCTGGAGACGTCCAAGTGAGAATATGAATTAATAGTTCTTATATTTTAGTACATTTATTACTTAGGAGACTGTTAAAATAAGCATTCATGTCTTTATTCTTAATTTTTTTTTTTTTTTGGAGAGGTTTTTGCTATAGGGCACGTGTGCTCGCCAGATAGAGAGAGACAGAGAGACAGAAAGCGAGAAATCACCCTCCAGGGGGGATGGCCACGCCGCAATTCCTTCTCTGTTCTCCTCTTGGGATCTTGGGCACGCATGCACACACGTTCAGCATGTGTTTTAAGCCACCGGGTTCGGGTCGCGAACCATGGTTGACTACGTGGGAGTCCAGCGACATAGCCATTATGCTAACTGCTGGTCCCCTATTCTTAAGTTTTTGATGCAACAGTCAGTGGGGCCTAAGAATATGAAGATAAAATCTAAATATTAAAAAAAATACTCTTATGATTTGAATATAGGTGGTTTATGTTCTGTACTTTAAACACATTGGCTGTCCATGTTATTGAGATTCAGAAGTAACTTTGTGGCCTACAATTGTCATATGACCTTATGCTTTTCTGTAATGCATAAAGTTACAGTCTATTAATTAAACAATAGCATTTCATTTAAAATATATACTGAGAACAAAAGACCTATTTTTGTACATCTAAAGCAGATATCATTTATCTTATTGTTGAAGTTTTATGGTAATGTTGTGCCTTTTCTCCAAATAATTGGCATTGTGACATTCTTCTATCTTCATTTTTTAATGGTTTAATATGATTTTTCTTCCTGTTTCAGCTTTCTATTTAATCTGCTACTGCCTGTTAAATCAGCTTCCCTTCAGAGCAAAGACTGAGGCTGCTTTTGTTAGATTAAACATTCTTTTTTTATCTGACTCAGCTTTCAGCTTCATCTACTTAGTTATATCATTGGTTGGGTAACAGAAATTGCCAGGATGTCACCCGGTGGGAAAATCAATTCACGAAAGAAGGCCTACTGCTCTGTGTTTGACTATAGAGCATCTCTTTTCTTTTTCTAAGCATATCTGTCTCAGCACACCTGGGTATTCCTCCCCAGGGCTAAGAAGAAGTTTGAATTGCCCTGCTCTTAATTAGCAACATCCCTTTCCCCTTATATTACAGGTGAACATGATTCATTCTCTTGTATATATTCCTAAGAGGGAGACTCACTGCAAAAGGACACATCATTGTAAAATAAAGAGAAGGCCAGTGGTGGAGCGCTTGAAAGATAATTCCTGTCTATTGTTCTAGGAGGTGTTTAAAATAAATGTTTCTCATGATATAATCCACTGTTCCACTAGGAGCCAGGAAGGCTCTTGTTCCATGAATTTAGATGTTTTAAAGATACATCCTCCACAGCACTCCCAACAGTAAGTACCTCGTAGCCTTTGGATTGAACTTGATTGTTATTAATCTGTGTATGTGATCTCTTACATAGGGCACAGGGTATATGGGTTTCAATGGGTGGTTTATAAAATTCCAAAAGTTATATGAAAATTTAGGTACATTTTTCTGAAGAGATTTCTTAGACAGCATACATTGCTCTATGGAGTATGTGATACCCCAAAAGTTAAGAACCACCGAAGTAATGGACCATCTTGTTGGGCTATAAAAAAATTAATCTTGGGTTGCAAAAGCAGTATTTTTCCAGAGGATTCAGAATTAATTTCCAAACGAAGCGAACTTAAAAGGGTGATTCTTCCTCTTCAGGAGAACTCTTACTTAAAAAAAACTATAATGTGACCTTGACCCTCAGAGCCTAAGGGGCCATCCATCTCTGAGATAGGTTTATCCATATGAACCAACTGCAGGTTTTTAGTTTTAATTAACTCACACCCAATTTCAGAGTATAAATTTTTACATGTATTCTGACTATAGAACAGTCTTTAACCAGGAAGAGAAAGATACAACACTTAAAAATATCCCTACTCCTCTCTTATGTTATAAAGCTTTCTGATACAAGAATCCTTTATTACATTAAAAATACTGTTACAGTTGAAATGGCAGGTTAATATGGCATTTTTTTGGTAAAGATACCAAATTTCAGATGGGTATTGAAGATGAAGCAAGGCTCTTAATGATCCTTAGTATTTTAAAAATTATTATTGACTGAGTTTATTTAGTTTCTCCATGGAAAAGTCATCTTAAATCTCCCATAGAATTTAGATTATGATAAAATCAAGTGCTTCAGTTTTTTTCAACTTTAAAATAAGAATGATAAAAATACTACCTTTTGCATATGATTATGTAAACAGTAAGAAAATATTTTAAGCAGAAGGTTTAGCTTGGTCCATGTGCATTCAAAGTATATTTGCCATGTTTATTATTATTGTATCTACTAAATAAAAAATTGAGAGTGCAATGGGATGCTTAGATTAACAGTTATCTTTTATTTTTGTTTAATCTTCAGTGGATCTGAGCTTTTAGTTCCTTGCTGGGCTTTGGACAGAGTTTACTTTTGACTGGATACACAGACAACAGGGTCATATCTTAGTTTTTGCTTATCTGCTCTTTTTTTTTTTTTTAATTTACTCTTTTTTCAGGAAAAAATCCAGTTCATTTCTTCAGAGAGAGAGAACCCCTACCGAGTCTACATGCCATAATCCACCCCCTCACTTCAGCCAGCCAGGGTCAGCCTATTCACCTGGTGAATGCAGGTGTATGAAGGGAGACTTTGGGTTGAGTCTGAGACCTTTTCATGTGGGCTTGGCATTGCACAACAGTTCATTATCACTATGCCACCATAACTGGCTATATTTATCCCTTTTCCTTTTGATACCCAGCCTCACGTTGATTCTATATTTTTCGGATCTCTTCTCCTGGTATATAAAATTTATTCATCCAGTATTCAGTTTCATCAGGATTCTATGCCTTATAGTCAAGAAACTTAAAAATTGTGGGCCAGCAGGTGGCATGGTGGTTAAGGTGCTGGATCCCACATGGAAGACTGTTCTGTTTTAATCCTAGACCAGGTGGCTTGAGAAGCACACAGAATACGTGTGGGTACATGCCCAAAGTCCCAAGAAGAAGAAGGAGGAGAAGGGACTGTCCAATCAGCACTTCCCCCCACCCCAAGAGGGTGACTTCTCACTTTCCCTCTCTCTCTGACTCTCTCTCTCTCTGGCAAATGCACACACCCTAAAGAAAAAACAAATTCCCCTGTGGGGTGATGTCTCAAGAGCTTTCTGTCTCTCTGTCTTTCTCTGTCTGTCTGGCGAGCACATGCCCCCTATTGCAAAAACCTTCCCAAAAAAAAGAAAAAGAAGAAAAAACAAATTGTTATTAAAGATGCTAAATAGTTTGTGCTACTATAAGCCATACTAAGTTTTAGTTCTTCTTGATACTATTCAAACTTAATTAGTGCCTCCTTGAAAATTGTTTATTAGGAGTGCTCAGGTTGGCTCTGTGGTGCAGTGGTTAAGGGAGCCAGATGCTATATGGCCAACTATAATTTGAATCCTGGCTCCAGGGACTTGAAAAACATGCTGTGTGGAGACAGAGGGGTGGCCATGGCGTCCTATTTCGATGAGCATGACTGTGAGCCGTTTGATCTGGAACAGGAGACCCAAACCAACATGTTGCTGGAACTCGCAAGGTCACTTTTCAATAGGATGGACTTTGAAGACTTGGGGTTGGTAGTAGATTGGGACCACCACCTACCTCCACCTGCCGCCAAGACTGTGGTCGAGAACCTCATTTTTGTTTAATCTTCAGTGGATCTGAGCTTTTAGTTCCTTGCTGGGCTTTGGACAGAGTTTACTTTTGACTGGATACACAGACAACAGGGTCATATCTTAGTTTTTGCTTATCTGCTCTTTTTTTTTTTTTAATTTACTCTTTTTTCAGGAAAAAATCCAGTTCATTTCTTCAGAGAGAGAGAACCCCTACCGAGTCTACATGCCATAATCCACCCCCTCGCTTCAGCCAGCCAGGGTCAGCCTATTCACCTGGTGAATGCAGGTGTATGAAGGGAGACTTTGGGTTGTGAGTCTGAGACCTTTTCATGTGGGCTTGGCATTGCACAACAGTTCATTATCACTATGCCACCATAACTGGCTATATTTATCCCTTTTTCTTTTGATACCCACCCTCATGTTGATTCTATATTTTTTGGATCTCTTCTCCTGGTATATAAAATTTATTCATCCAGTATTCAGTTTCATCAGGATTCTATGCCTTATAGTCAAGAAACTTAAAAATTGTGGGCCAGCAGGTGGCATGGTGGTTAAGGTGCTGGATCCCACATGGAAGACTGTTCTGTTTTAATCCTAGACCAGGTGGCTTGAGAAGCACACAGAATACGTGTGGGTACATGCCCAAAGTCCCAAGAAGAAGAAGGAGGAGAAGGGACTGTCCAATCAGCACTTCCCCCCACCCCAAGAGGGTGACTTCTCACTTTCCCTCTCTCTCTGACTCTCTCTCTCTCTGGCAAATGCACACACCCTAAAGAAAAAACAAATTCCCCTGTGGGGTGATGTCTCAAGAGCTTTCTGTCTCTCTGTCTTTCTCTGTCTGTCTGGCGAGCACATGCACCCTATTGCAAAAACCTTTCCAAAAAAAAAAGAAAAAGAAGAAAAAACAAATTGTTATTAAAGATGCTAAATAGTTTGTGCTACTATAAGCCATACTAAGTTTTAGTTCTTCTTGATACTATTCAAACTTAATTAGTGCCTCCTTGAAAATTGTTTATTAGGAGTGCTCAGGTTGGCTCTGTGGTGCAGTGGTTAAGGGAGCCAGATGCTATATGGCCAACTATAATTTGAATCCTGGCTCCAGGGACTTGAAAAACATGCTGTGTGGAGACAGAGGGGTGGCCATGGCGTCCTATTTCGATGAGCATGACTGTGAGCCGTTTGATCTGGAACAGGAGACCCAAACCAACATGTTGCTGGAACTCGCAAGGTCACTTTTCAATAGGATGGACTTTGAAGACTTAGGGTTGGTAGTAGGTTGGGACCACCACCTACCTCCACCTGCCGCCAAGACTGTGGTCGAGAACCTCCCTAGGAAAGTCATCGGGGGCTCTCAGGCTGAGCTCAAGTGCCCCGTGTGTCTTTTGGAATTTGAGGAAGAGGAGACTGTCATTGAGATGCCTTGCCATCATCTCTTCCATTCCAACTGCATTCTGCCCTGGCTGAGCAAGACAAATTCCTGCCCCCTGTGCCGCCATGAGCTGCCCACTGATGATGACACTTACAAGGAGCACAGACGAGATAAGGCTTGGAAGCAGCAGCAGCAGCACCAACTGGAGAACCTCCACGGGGCTATGTACACGTAGGTGGCTGGGGCTGAGCTCATAGTCCTCTTGCATCTTGAATCCTCATTAAAGGTTTCTCTACCAGCTCTGCAACTACACTGCTCACAGGCCTGGGCAGGGGCTCTGCATCCTTCTCTAGGCCTCTGCTGCTACTGGGGAAGGTGGTCTTTAACTCTAGATTATCCGTCTACGTTTCCCTCCTGCTAGCCTATCTGGACTTAGGACAGCATAGCCATTGGACCACCCAGGGCTTAGACAAAACGTGGCAGGATCTGGTACCCAGTAGCTGTCTAGAGCTGATAAAACTAGCCTGGGCTGTCCTCCTCTGTAATTTCTAGTTACTCTGGAAGCTTTAGTTAACCTTGGAACCCCAGGAGTTTTAACTCCACTGAGAAAATTGATCTTACTTAAACATTTTAGTTGTTTTCTTTAACCCCCTTCTGTAGTCCCTACTTTGAATCAGAGTTCAAACTAGACTGCATGGGAGGAGTATAAGATTATCAAAAAAAAAAAAATAAAAAATAAAAGCTGAGTGCATGTGTGTCCAGATTCCTGATAGGATGGAGATGGAGAAGAAGGAATTGCACATCCCACAGGCAGATGCTTTCTCTCCTTTTCTCTCTGTCTTTCTGGTGAGCACACACACACTCCAGCAATTAAAAAAAATAGGACTCTAGTAAAAGAAAGTTGGAGTACACTGAGGAAATAATTTGAAAGAGTAATATGACTTTCAACTCAAGGACTTTATAGCAATACTATTTTGTCCATCCTTGGGCATGAAAACTATACATTATAGAGGGAGTTGAGAGTCAGCTTCTGACTCCAGTCAACCTTAATTTTTGAATCCTCTTTCCAAATTAAAATCTGGATGACCCTGAACAAATTATTTATCTTCTCTGTGTCTACACTTTCCAATGTGCAAAAGAAGACCAAAAAAAGGTAATTGTAAGAATGAAAGCTAATAAAATACAAAGCATGTAGAGAAATAACAAATGCTTGGTTCACATGCTTAAATGTAAGTGTTTGCTGCTATTATTGCTAGAAAAATCCCAATTTTAGACTTATTTTTATAAAATACATTTATCAGAAACTAATCTTTTATCCAACTAAGTGTCATGGTCTGAGTTCAGACTCAAGGATATCTTTCTATGTGAAAGTTGTTTTATTGTTTTCATCTATTGTGTTAAGATGAAAAGGATCAAAGGCAAACAATTAAAATCACCTAAATTTTAATTCAAATATTATGCATTATACTTATTATTCAAAAAGCATGGGTTTATTATGATCACTTTTCATTATTAAAATAAAATTTGAGAACTGAGGAGTAGCTTAGTGGTAGCACAATGGAACCCACATGGGATGCCATGGGTTACATCCCAGGACCTTCCTGAGCACTCTAGGTGCATGAATATGTTCTCATGATCTAGGCTGGCTGAGGGTGGATTGTGGCATGAGGATCCTATTGGGGATGCTTGTCTCTCTCTGTCTCTTTCTCCCTGTCTGTATCTCTCATGGAAGAAGTAAGTGAATACAGTTTATATATTAAAAAAAAAGATCCAAGGACATACTTTTTTTCATTTCATCAGAATTGGAAACAAATGATGTAGTGCCGCTCAAGATAGCATTGCTTTAGACTGAATCAACTGTTTCAGTAGTTCAAAGTTTTAAGTTAGCAATGTTAGCTGGAGCAAATTCCAAAGCACACTTCTTACTATGAGTACAAGTCAGAACATTATTTGTATTCTTGTAGCTGGAAAGGAACAAAACAGTTTACTCCAACAGATTTCTTTGGTGAAAGTACCTCACATTTTCTAAATGTCACCTGTTGAATATGCACATAATCATGAAGACTACGTTTTTTTTTTTCAAATTAAAATTCTGGAGGCAACATAGTTCTGACATGAGCAGAGTAGTTAAGAGGGCATATTTCCAAAGCAATATGAGCATATGTGAGAGTAAAAACACTCCAGATTCCAGGTGTCATTCTATTAGATCTCAACATAGGTGCAAGTTTCTCTTTCAGTTTATTTCTCTTTATGATTCTTTCCTTAATCTTTCTTCTTGGAGAGATGAGTGAAGATTAGTTACTTGGTTAAAACTTTAACCCAAATCAGATAAGACCACTCACTTATATGAACACTGTATCATATCTCAAATTTATGTCTACTTACAACTTCCAAACATCTTACCTGTAGTCCCAAAGTTTCCATTATCTCCTTGCTTAGAAGTACATTTTTTTTTTTTTTGGTAATATCTTCTATCCATGACAAAAAAGAACGAGGCTGCTACAGTCCTGCTTTTTTAACAAGTTAATTAACCTATGGGAGCCATGATGGTAAGATGTGACTCTGGCTCATAGCATAGCATGTTTCTAACAGGGATTAAATATTTATATATGAAAAAGAAGAGCCTTTGTGGTTGTTCCACTTTGGGTAAAATTACAGGCCTATCAATCATAATGCTATGAAGCATGAAATCAGGAAGTATTTTTTCCTGTACAGAATATTATATTACACAGTTTGGTGTATTTGGGGAGCAATGCTTTTATACAGAAGGAAAGAAAGGAAAAGTAGAACATACTAACTACAGTGAATCCAACCAACCTTCCAATTACGATTTCTGTGTTGGCTCATATCATGGTTTTCAATCTCTGCCTTCGGGCGCTGATCTTGATGAGTCACACCAGCTTCTTCTCACTGCTCCTATGTGGCTATCATTCAAGTTGTTGACGTATATCTCTATGACTATATGGAGATACCCAGGCCATGGCTACAAGGCAATGGAGAGAGGTTTTAGCTCCTGCTGTTTACTTACTTGAGAGGGGAGAAAAAGATGACACTAGGGATTTGATGGCTATCCTTTTAGCCATTTATTTTGGGTAGCCTCGAAAATTAAACATTATTACTAGGACCAAACGGAGAGACCAGACTGTTTTCTTTATGGTTTATTATTGAAATGGTTAACTGATTGATGTATGGCTCGGCATCCCTTTGAAATGAGAACTGTTGGGAAATTAAGTGCAATAGCAATCTTGCATATGAGAATGCTTTTACTTACTGTTACTCTGAAGTATGGCAATAGAAGTTCTAGACCTGTGCTGTTTAATATGTAGTCACTAGTCACGTGTGGCTAGGGAGCACTTGAAATGTGGCCAGTCTGAACTGACGTTTTTGTTTTGCTAGAGAGCACATATGCTCACCAGAGAAAGATGTAGAGACACAGAGAGAAGGAGACAGAGGAGGAGACACTCCCCATGAGGCATGGTCATGCCACAGTCCCTTCTCTGTCTCTATCTCCTTTTGGGATTTTGGACACATAGGTATATGTGCCCAGTGTGTTTCTCAAGCTGCTGGATCCAGGGCTTGAACAGCATGGTCAGCCATGTGGGATCAGACACCCTGACTACCAGGCCATGAAGCCAGCCCCTGAATTGATTACCCCCTTTTAAGAGTAAAATATGCACAGGATTTTATAGATTTCACATGAAAGGCAGCTCATTAATTGTTGCTTATTGCATGTTAAATGATAATATTTTGGATATATTATGTTGAATAAAATATTTTATTAAAACTAATTTTATCTATTTCTTACTTTTTTTTTTTTTTGAGAAGTTTTTTGCTATAGGGCGCGGGCGCTCGCCAGACAGACAGAGAGAGACATAGAGACAGAAAGCGAGAAATCACCCCCCAGGGAGGATAGTCATGCTGCAATCCCTTCTCCTCCATTCTCCTCTCGGGATCTTGGGCACGTACGCACATGCGCCTGGCGTGAGTTTTTAAGCCACCGGGTCTGGGACGCGAACTGCGGTCGACTACGTGGGAGTCCAGCGACATAGCCATTACGCTAACTGCTGGTTCCCTCTATTTCTTACTTCTTAAATGTGCTATTAGAAAGCTTAAAATTAACCCAGGAGGCTTACATTTGTGGCTTGCATTCTATGTCTATTAGATAGCATTGCTTTAGACTGAATCAACTGTTTCAGTAGTTCAAAGTTTTAAGTTAGCAATGTTAGCTGGAGCAAATTCCAAAGCACATTTCTCACTATAAGTACAAGTCAGAACATTATTTGTATTCTTGTAGCTGGAAAGGAACAAAACAACTTACTCCGACAGATTTCGTTGGTGAAAGTACCTCACATTTTCTAAATGTCACCTGTTGAATATGCACATAATCACGAAGACTACTTTTTCTTTTTCCAAATTAAAATTCTGGAGGCAACATAGTTCTGTTTAGTGAAGATATGAGTCCTACCTGACACAATGCCATTAGTTTATGGGTAAGAGGATTGCTCGGAGGCAATCATTAGACAATGAAGAATTGAGGTGTGTGTGTGTGTGTGTGTGTGTGTACAGGTGTTCCTGAGCATTTCTTATAAATCATCTACAGATCAAAAATCAGGGGATTTCTTTATTAGGTGTTGGTGCTGAAAGGAGTTTTCAAAGTGATACAAAGATGGGTAATTAAGGAACTGTTTGAAAGTTAAAATTTCATTATCAGACAGTCTAAATTAGCTCGCCATCTGTTGTGTAGGTTATATTATTTTAAAATAATTTTTTTTTCCTTTTTTTGTTTTTGAGAGGTTTTTGCTAAAGGGCGCATGTACTTGCCAGACAGACAGAGAGAGACAGAGAGACAGAAAGCGAGAAATCAACCCCCAGGGGGGATGGCCACGCTGCAATCCCTTCTCCTTCGTTCTACTCTCGGGATCTTGGGCACGCACGCACACACGCCCAGCTTGAGTTTTAAGCCACCGGGTCCGGGACGCGAACTGCAGTGGACTACATGGGAGTCCAGCGACATAGCCATTATGCTAACTGCTGGTCCCTAAAATAATTTTTGAATTAACACTTGATTGTCAATATTCAACCAAAGTTGGGCAACTAATTAGAACCATCCTTTAACATTGAATTACCTATATTTGATATGACAATCAATCAAATTATGTTTAGAACATACTATGAACAAGAATGTGTTAGATATGGTAGCATTTTTAGGCAGGTACAGACTTCACTGTTCGAGGT